AGGGTAATATGCCTCTTTTCCTGGAGTAATTAGAGAGAGCTTCGTGCAGGAGACAGACTGGTGTTGGCTCTTTGAGAGTGGATAGAATATGACCAGATGTAGGATGCCTAGAGAGAGACTTGGAGACCAGAAAGAGAGCTCTCTGCCAGAGTGGTGCAGCAGCAGGTGTAGTAGAGTCGACAACGTTTTTACAAAATCATAAGCAAATAAATGATAAACTGAGTTGGCAGAATGGAGAAAACTAACTCCTAAAGCCTTCAAGAAGCAATGTAATTCAAGCCATAGAACTCCAGAAGAATGTAGGATTTGGAAGTATCAAGTACCTCATAGAGTGTAAGATAAGGAATAGGTCGAAAAATGGGAGGATTAGTTCAAAGTCTCTAGAAAGAGAAGTAGTTCAGTCCCCCCACTCTGCATAAGCAAGCAGCTACCCCTGCACACACCCCAGTGGGTGACTGGAAGTTTACTTTCTGAAGAAAATGGAGCCCAAGAAGCTCTGAACTCTGAACTGCCTGGGATGCTGGGGCAAGAGGTAAGACACCTTACTGAAAACAAGAGGATTCAAAGCCCTGCATACCAACCCTGAGCTTCCCAACCGCTTTTTCCTGCTTAACTCCCAAAATGCAATCCAGGTTAGATTCCTCAGGCAAAAGGTTGGAGGGTGCCATCTGAAAAAAAATAGTCCCAGCATTGATAGCTACTCGATGGGTGTGTCCCCCACAGAAAGGGCTCATCCACTCATTTTGCAGCGAAACACCCTAGTCAGCAAGCACTGCCAGTGTGCAGACTATTTGACAGCTTTTTAAAGTCTCATTGCTAAAGATGAACTGACAACTAAAGATTGCTCGACATTAAAGAAAGAAAAGCCTCTGACATTTCTTTTAAAGTCTGAAGCAAGAGAAAAAAAAGAAAAAAGGAAACCCAGAAGTAACAGAAGATGGAGAAGGAGGAGACAAAAAAAAAAAAAACCCAATAATAATGATGATAGGAAATAATCAGAACTAGAGCATAAAAGTCTTCATATAGAGAGAACTCACTAGCAAGGAAAACAAAAGCAAAAATAAACAAATGGGACTACATCAAACTAAAAAGATTTTGCACAACAAAGGAAACTATCAACAAAACAAAAAGGCCACATACTGAATGCAAAAAGATATTTGCAAATGATACCAAAATTTTCAAAGAACTCATACAACTCAACATCAAAAAAAAAAAAGAAAAGAAAAGAAAAAAAGAAAAGAAAAACCAACCCAATTGGAAAATAGACAGAGGACCTGAATACATTTTTCCAAAGCCACAGAGATGGCCAATAGACACATGAAAAGATGCTTAACATCACTAATTATCAGGGAAGTGCAAATCAAAACCACAATGAGATACCACCTTACACCTGACAGAATGACTGTTATGAAAAAGATAAGAAATAACAGGTGTTCATGAGGATATGGAGAAAAAGGAACCCTTGTACACTGTTGGTGTAGCTACTATGGAAAACAGTATCGAGGTTCCTCAAAAAATTAAAAATAAAACTACCATACAATCCAACAGTTCCATTTCTGGGTATTTTTCCAAGAAAACAAAAACGTTAATTTGCACCCCTATGTTCACTGTAGCATTATTCACAATAGTCAAGATATGGACGCAACCTAAGTGCCCATCAATAGATGAATGGATAAAGAAGATGTAACATACATACACACACAGGAATATTACTCAGCCATAAAAAAGAATGAAATTTTGCCATTTGCAACAACATGGATGGAACTAAAGAGTATTATGCAAAGTGCAGTAAGTCAGACAAAAACAAATGCTGTATGATTTCACTTACATGTGGAATCTAAAAAACAAAATAAATGAACTAAGATAACAAAACAGAAATAGAGTCATAGCTACAAACAGGTGGTTGCCAGAGGGGCGGAGGGGGTGGGTAGTGGGGGCTGAGTGAAACAGGTGAGGGTAATTAAAAGGTACAAACTTACAGTTATAAAATAAGTGAGGCACAGGGATGAAGTGTACAGTGTGGGGAATATAGTCAGTAATTATGCAATATCTTTGTGTGGTGACAGATGCTAACTAGACTTATCATAGTGATCACTTTGTAAGGTCTAGAAATATCAAGTCACTATGATGTGCACCAGGGGGAAATGGGCTTGGTAGGTTATAGAGTGCCTCTCATCAGATTGGGGAGGATTTAAGGTTCTGTCGTAATTGGGGGAGGATCTAGAGAGATTGGTACACAGGCACTCAACAAGTCATACTATCAACAAGACAGGTACTCCAAGAGTGGGGGAAATGGCAGTCATCCCTTCAGGAAAAACAAATAAAGGGGCAAAAAATGAATAGTATATTACATGGCATAGCACTGAGCAGTATTTTTGTATATGTAAGGTAAACACCACAAATTGATTTAACAAAAAAATATATGTTCAAAAATACTTGAACATCTTGAGAGGATGAGGAGAAGTAGATTTGGAAGGTAGACAGTTAAACCCTCATGTTTTTTAATAAAAAGTTACTAGGTAACTTGTGGGTGAGAGACGAAAATGTGCTAAGAAAAGAGTACTGTAAGAGAGCTAAATGCTCATTTTTCATAGAAGGAACACAGATGATGTCCAAACTGGGAGGGAAAGAATAAGAAATATTAATATAAGGATATTATTTAGAAATATGAAGGTAAAGAAGAAACAACTGGAAGTGGTTACTACGGCAGAGCAAAGAACTTTTGCTTTTTCATTCATATAAGCCTTTTAGTAGTTTAGACTTAGTAACCAGTATGTAAACTTTATTTTAAAATTTTAGTATATGCAGATTATGTGTCAATTTCTGTCTTAGTTCTGCATGTTGAAAATGAAAAAGGTGACATTTTAGAGTTGTTTTTAAGAGGTTCTAGCCTTGACTTTGTCCCTTATCAGCCTGAGACCTTGGGCAGGACACTTGCCTGACTGAGTCTTAGTGCCTTCATGTATGAAAGGATGGAGGTTGGAAAAGATGATCTCTGTGATCTCTTTAAGCTGTAATATCTGAAGATTCTGTTATAAAATTAATAATGCTTTGCAGCAAATGAAGAGTTAAGACTTGGGTGGAGGCTTGAAATTCCCACATTTTCCTTTCTTAGTTGAAATCAGACTTAGAAATTTTCATTGTGGTCTCTGAAAAGAATTCAACACCCACCTTCCATTGTTCCACTGTGGAGCCTGGGGCAGGCAACTGACTATGTTCTGGCTCCGGGACACATAGCTTAGTGTTATTTTAGTATGGGGTAGGTTTTTTTGAGGGGGGAATATTTAATATTTTTCAGTATGAATCACAGGTGAAATTTCCATGCCATGTGTAAACAATTTCACTTTTTTATTGAAACAATGAATTCAGGAATGTCATATTGGGATGTCAGCCATTTTGCTTTTATCAATGTATGGAAAAAATGCTTTTATATTAATATAAGAAGTGATGTCATTTAATATGGAGGAGATCTTATAATTCAAGGTCAGCAAATCTCAGGAGGTGATTTAGGTCACCAAGCTAGCTTTGGAAAAGGAAAAAAATATTTTCCCTTTGTCTTCTCAAGTTGTTTTTTTAAAACCAATTTTTTCCTCAGACTTTGGGGTAGCTGAAGGAGTAGCATGGTTGTGAAAAAGAGGCTCCGGCTAATAATATCTTTGCCATTGAAACATGTGGCGCTGGAGAATTTCCTTCCCCTTTTTGGGCTTCAGTTTTCCCATCTGCTCAAGGAAAGGATTGGCTTAAATAATATTCGAGATACATTTTAGCTTTAACATTCTATGTTTCTCCCTCTTTATTTTATGTGTGTATTCAGACCATTCAAGGGAACTGATTAGGTTTTGAGGTTTTCCTTTAAAAGTTCAATGTAGTGAGAGTGAACTCTTTCTCTGTTAAAATGCCGTTCACTCACACAAGTGAAAAATCAATTGAGTACTTGATACAAATAAAAGAGGACTTCCTTTGTTTTGTTGGTGGTGGTTTTATTTTTTTAAAAAAGGAAAATATTTAAAAGTTTAACTTCGCTGCATTTAGGTGCTGGAAAAATTTAGATGCTGGAAAATAAAACTTCAAGACTGATGACCCTTCACATTTGTACCCAGTGTGCAGTTTACAAAGTACTTTCTTCATATATATTATGTCACATGAAAAATACATTTCTACAAGGCTGTGTTGTACACTTCCTGTGCAGTGTCTGTGTGAGAGTGTGGATGAACATGCACGTCTGCTCACCTCCCATCTCTATTATAGTTGGTTAAGCAGATGGTATTCAGAGACAAAGTGAGAGGAAGCAAGGAACAGACAGACGAAAACCATTTAGCAAGTTACTCAAGGCACATAGACAAACACTGAATCTGAGAAAATCAACCTTTAGCAGAAATAAATAAAACTAATCTTGCCAGCAAGCCATTGTTTCTTCATGCGATCTCTACAGCTCTGTGCTCTGGTTCTGGATAAAGAGGAAAGTTAGATACACAAGAAAAATAATGTAAAGCACAGCCTCTGTCTAAAGTGACTTGCCCTTTATTTGTGTAATAAGCATCGACTGAGCACTAGCACTGTGTCAGACACTTGGGCATCAGTGATGGATACAACACGACCCTTACTCCTGATTGTACAAAGGGAAGGCTCAGTGAAAGAAGGGCTGAATGTGCTCAGAGTGTGTACTACCAGCCTTCAGTATCTAAAATGAACCCCTGGTTTTTCGGTATACATCCCTGGAGTTGATGTTAGCAAAACCTACTAGGGTGTGTGAAATATCCTAATCCCTGACTTGGTCGTTCTTAGTCTTCTCCAACCGTGGGGGCAAGGGAACAGGAAACGAGGAGCCTGTCTTTAAACACCATCTGAAGAGTGTGGGTGGTGATGTTGGGATCGCACATTCACATCTCCTCTTTCAGAGTTTAAAAGGAAAAATGAAACATGTTTAGTGGATTATGTTTGGGAAGCGTTGCCTAGTGCCTGCCCAGATTTCTTTTAATTCTATTTTTCCACCTTTGCAGCTAAGATATCAACATGGACTAGGGACTCCAGACTTGAGGCAAACCCTCCCTAACCTGAAAAACTTCATGGAGCATGGACTGATGGTCAGGTGGTGAGTACTTTTATCTCTGATACCCTGAAACTGTAATGTGGATAATAAAGCTAGGAAACTCTCCTGACTTCCACATTGCTCTACACCTGCCTTCTGGGTTTTCTTCTATAAGAAGGTATCTGAAGAAAAGGAAAGGCAGCCATCCTGCTTGTGTAGGTCTCAGCTCCAGTCTGGCTAAGAGGGTGAAGCCCTCATGGAATAGAGGAGGTCCCAAGGGGTCATGTTTGATCATCAGAAGTTTGTCTGGGCAGGAAATCCTGGAGTGTATCGCTGAGGCAGAGACTGGAGGACAACTACGTGCTTCATAAAAGGGAGACATGGAGCCCCCAGGGATTTTCCAGAAAACAGGCGAAGGACAGAGTGAGATCAGGATCAGTGGCGGTGAGAGCTAAGGGAAGAAAGCTGACAAGGAATAGGTCAGGCCATCAGGACCTAGTCTGAGACCAGGAGACACATACTAGAATGTTTCTCATATTTGATGTCAGTGCCTGTTGTACTAAGAAGGGAAGCTGCTGCATAAAAGCGCTTTGTCAGGATGGACATGACCCTTTTCAACAAAGAGGGGAAGGGAAAATCTGATGCAAAGAAGACATGAGATGATTCACTTAACTTAAATAAACAAAGTGTTGGCTCTAGTTATTTAGTTAATTCGAATCCTTGGATGATGGGCAGTAACAACAAAATCATGTGAACTCAAATCAGGCTTTTAGATTTAGACAACTGGGAATAGCACGGTTTCTTCTAAAGAACACTGGCTTCTGATCCCAGATCTTTCTTTAATTCACTCTGTGAATTCAAAAACCTACCTCTCTGAAACGTCATTTCCTCATCTGTAATCCCTGCCCTGCTCATCGCAACAGTGTGTGGTGAGGATGAAGTGAGACGCCAGGTGGAAAAATCATCTGTGGGAAGGAAGGTACCAGAACAGTTTCATTTTCTTCTTTGGCATAAAGGATACGCCTTGAGGATAATAAGAAAATGACATCTCTGATTTACCTGTACTGCGACGTTTTTGATTTTTGTCTCACAGAATCTTCAGAATGCAGATTCTAGATGTCTGATTTCAGGCAGGACCCCTGTTAGGCAAAAATACACAATCGTCTAAAGAATTCTGCTCAGAATATCAAAATAATTACAAAAAACTTAGTGTAGATATGGACATGTATACCCTGAGAAATAAGGGCAAGGAATTGAGTTTTAATGTAAAATAATAGTTATTATAATAATAATCATAAAATAATAATAATAATAATAATAATAATAA